GAATTATCAAATGATTTTGCTAAACTAATTATTAGATATAAGAGCTAATTATTATACTCTCCCATGCTCTTTTAACTGCGTGTGCATATCATTCCCGAATTAATATTAACCGGAATTCGATGGAGTCGTCTTAATGTCCATTTTTATTAGTATAAATTAATTTTAATCTTGATTCAATTTATTCTTTATTTTGTATAATTTTTAATAAAAAAAAGACAAAAGTTTTAAACATTAAGAGTTCTTGGAAAATTCTTTTCAATTTCTTATTACTAGAATTCTAGGATAATGAGTCGACTGAAAACCTTTCACTCAACTTTCACCTGCCAGCGACGCGCGCGGTAATCAAGAGACAACACCATGTATAAGCGTACAATCAGTTGACGCACCTTAATATTGCAAGAAAGGAAGCAAAGAAACGCGTTTCTTATTGCGAAGGATCGCTCTCCGTATCGTGCCAGAACAACGAGATCTATTCTGATGCCTTCGGACACTCACAAGCCGTCTTGGAGCGTGGGGAAAATGTCAAGGATAACAAATAAATATTTAGCAAAGCTAGTATTTATCTGCTGGCGCATATTCCTCTGCGGCAAAAAAAGCAACATGATTCCATAATAATGGGACCACATCACAATGCCCGGAAAATAACAATTATCCAAATAAATCGTAGTCTAAGAGCTTGCGATTTAAAAATTGTGTTTAACCTCGTGCCAGATTACACAATAGAAGTTGAAGATTGTAAACTAGAGCAATTAAGTATGATTTTAATTTTTAAATAATTTTAATAATTGCAGATCTAACGAATTAAATAACTCTAATTTTAATTCCTCTTTCTTTGATTGTGATTGGATTCTAATCTTCAACTCCCAATTCTCAATTTAACTTCAATGCAATTTCTGATACAGGCCTTAGGAAACGTGCTCGTTGCTTCGCAAAAGGAAAGGAAATCGCCTCATTCGCGTCAAGGCCATGACGGCTTTAGACCTGTCGCTGATTTAGAGCGACTTCGATCAAACTATGATTAACTTAATCGAGAATTAATTCGACCAGCAAGTTCAATCGATTGCCTATAAAATTTTCATGTATCGTTATCCTCTTTTTTTCTATATATTAGGCGATAAAAAATTGACAATTCCATCTAGATTGATGAAATAATACAGACATTGTTTGACAAGTTAGGCCTATTTCTACCAATATAGATTTACAATTAATTTCGAATTAATTTATTCCTTATCTTCTTCTAATTCTTAGAACTAGAAAATAAAAAATAAGTTGACCCGAGATTAAAGTTCGTCACTGCATTCATTGGTAGAAATAGACATTAATCATCAATCAAGTTAATCGAAGTTTAATCGGAGTCACCTTTCCGACTATCCCTGCATGGGCCGCCCTTTGCCCTGCGTTTGACATCTCCCACCTCCCGCGTTCTAACCTCAAACCCTGTCGCAATGTGCGAACACATGGGGAAAGCAGGTAGAGAAAGTGAGAGGGAAGGGGACAGAGAGAGAAAGAAGGAAAGTATATATATATATAGAAAGAGAGAGAGTGAAAGACAAAGCAAACAACACTCACCCGTGCGTGGTCGCGTGTCCGCATTTTCCTATGCCGTCGCACGCGTGCCGCCAGCTTGTCGGCATTTCACCGCTTGTCGAGAGATAAATCCGCGCGTACACCAAGGAAGCGTGGCCCGTCGTCGCCGTCGTCGTCACGCACGCAGCCACGCACGACACTCGTACGCACGCCGCATGCGAGCGCGAGCGCGAACGCACGGGCCGCTGCCTCGCGGCCGCATGGGGGGAACACGCGTCCGATTGACAGGTGGGAATGAGGATGACGAGGATGACGATGATGGGGACAAAGAGAAAGACAAAAAGATGAACGAGAACGCGCTGACAGGAAAGACGTTTCCTCGTGTCTTTTCTTTTCTCTTTCTCGTTCAAATTTCGCCCGCGGGACGCGATGCGACTCCCCACGCGATTATCCAAGTCGCGATCCGCGAGCGAACTGTTTCCGGACACGCGAGAGTCGCGCGAGTTGCGAGCGAGCGCCGCTTACGAGGCACGGTCGCGCGCCGCTCGTCGTAGGCGTTGATGATGGCCCGACGTGGACTAGATACCACGCCGTAAAGACGCCTGTAAAGCACCGCGAGGGACGCGTCCATTTATTATTAACTCCTCGTGGATGCCATAGGCGGGAAACGCATCGTCGCCTCCTCGCGCGCTGCACCGTCGGCCGATGCTGGGGTCCTCTTTGCGTGCGCCAGGTAGCAGCAGCTATCGATCGTGGAACCATCGTGATAGCTGTAATACGGGAATAATTCAGGCTGTTGTATGTTTTTTATTTCTAATAAAAAAAAAGAACCCTCGCATGTGTGATTTGTAGCTCTATTTTGGATCAGCTCATCCAGGTTGTAGCTAAGATCGACAAATGATAAGTTCAATGATTTTCTTTAGCGACAGCGGATGAAAAATTCTTCAAATTCTTGGAAATTTTATACAGCGTCTTGTGAAAATTTTACATAATTTTATAATATAATTTATCATATATATAATTAAATTGTATTAATTATATAGTGTAATGTGTTCACTAAATTCATGTAATTCGACTTAAGAGGGGAAGTCCACCTCCTTTGAGGTTTCAAAAAATCGAAAACTTTTTTTGCTTAAATTTACTCTTAAGAATAATATTTCAATAGTTTTTTAAGTCGGTATTTCAACTGTATAATCCCGTTAGAACCAAAATCTTGCATCTCCTCACTCCCATCTCGAGAGACGCGCGTTGGATATCAAGAAGTAATAGTTTGCTACCTAAGTAATAATCCAAGTAAAAAATACTTATTAGAAATATTTATTTATATTTATCATAAATATTACATAAAATGTTTAGTCTATATTTTAATAATATTTCGAATAAAGCTTATAATTCTATATTTAAAAAAAATTCATAAATGTTCACCACGCACCGGGATCCGTGGAAGCCCGCAGATTCCAAGGCCCGTCGATGCGTCGTACCATTTGCGATTACGTTAAAAGCGCCCCTGGAAAAAATCCTATTTCACTAGCTTTAAATATGTAGAAAAGAAAATTTGGATTTTTGTTCCAGGTCCAAAGGAGTACACCACATATATGCACTCGCCAAAAAAGGAGGCTCAATGCTGCTAATATAACGTCACCATTTTGTAAGATAAAAATTCAAAAAAAATTTTTTATACTCTCGAAAGTTGATGTATTAAAGCCCTTCGATACGATTTTTGATTGACTTTATTAGTTTACTGTAAAAAAATTACTAAAATAGGTATCATTTTTAGGCCAAAGAATGGTGTTCCCCTTCAAATCGAAATAGAATCCAATGGTTCCTACGACGGAAACGTGAAACGGCATCTCCGACATCCTCATTCCTATTTTTAAAATCTGATTGCCAGAACTTTTTTCTTACTTAACGTAAAGAAACTTTGGAATTCTTTAAGAAGGAACCGAAACTACATTAAAGTTCCGGAAATAATATGCTAATTTTATAAGGCTAAAGAAACTCGAATATTATTATATATATGAAAATGTTTAGATCGTTCTCTTTTCATTTATTTCTTATTATTATAAAAATTTCCTTAATATTTTTAATTAGTCACAATTCACAATATAATTATTAAGTAATCTTAATATCCCAATAAGAAATGACAATTAATGAAATCGACGTCGATTCGATCATTTCTCACGTGAAATATAATCCATTTTGCATCAGCAATAATTTGGCATTGCGGTTTCTCCTGTTTTCTTTAAATTCCTTCGCGTTTCATGACATGTAATATTCATTTCCACCAATGTACGTTAATTTTAATTTATAAATCTATAAAACACTAATTTATAAATTTATAAAACACTGAAGTGAATAAATATATTCTATATTCATTAACTTTAATTTATTCGATTCAACCTACTCTCTCTCTCTCTCTCTCTCTCTCTCTCTCTCTCTCTCTCTCTCTCTCTCTCGAGTTCTTAGAAAAAAATAAAGAATAAATTGAACCAAGATTAAAGTTTGTTTTACAGTTACTTTTCTTTTAGGAAACAGTCGACACAAACGTTGTTCTATCCTTTTTGGCATTTAATAAATAAAGATAATAGAACGACATGCAATACTTGTGACGATTGTATCTCCTAAGAACAACCTTGATCTACATTCTACATTATTGATAGATAAATGGACATAGTTCATATTAGATCTATGGACGATTTTGCGCGATCAGACTCCGATTTATTAATTTAATCGATTAACGTCCGTTTCTACCACTGTAGATTAAATTTCAGCTCAACTTACTCTTCATCTTTTTCTAATTCTTAGAACTAGAGTTATATAGTTGAACCGAGATTAAAATTAAACTACAAAAAACATTTAGAAACGAGCATAATTTAATCGACAGAACTGTCTAAAACAAAAAGTTTCTAATAATTAAATAATATTATATAATGCACTGTCTCCTATTTAATTTTTTTCATATATATTTATAATAAAAAAACAAAAAAATTATATAAAGTGTACAATAAGAGTCTATAGTGAGCTGAGCTGAATGACAAATACTATTATTATGCTATTATAATGACAATGCTATTACTATTATTTTATTTTTAACGCTAGACTATCATAGACACACACATGCTTCTATTTTGAATACTATTTGTTTGTTATATATTGATCACACAAATATAAATATAATAATAACATAAATATAAACATATATATAACATAAAAAACTTACAAACGTTTTGACCCTTTAATGAGATCATTCTTAATGCGGAAAGACAATTAACATCAAACTCTTAAATTATTTAAAAAACGTCCGTTTAAAAAAATTAACAAAAAAAAACTAATTCTATCCACATTAAGGAAGCGGTATTATTTGACGAGTTAATTGCCGATTAACTTAATCGAATGTTTGATCGAAGTCATCCCCTACAAACTATACAAACAGCGTCGAGGGATATTTAAAAATGGCCGCAGTATCGGCGCATTAGGGAAACGTCAGGAAGCGTCAGAAACGTACTCAAACGCATCGATTGTTGTCGGGGATACAACCGATGCGTCGATATCGCGATCATCGTAGCGAGTCACGTCGATGCACGCGCGTTCTATTTATAGCATTCCCGATTCTTTCGGCGCCGCCTGCCAAGTATTTTGACGTAAGACCAACCGGACGCGATTTCACGTCATCGAAGTGGAGAAACACGTCCTCGTTGCATTTCCAATCTTCCCGCGTTCCTCTCCGTCGAGAATCCTCGCTCGTGTCTTTCACTCACCACGCGAGTGTCTCGCGTCCGTTCTCGTGCGGTTTCACCAGGTTTCACCCAGCTGTGCGGTGAGGTTAAGCCGCGTAGTCAATAACCTCACGCTCTCGAGAGAGCTCCTTGTGCGTGGTGAACGACGATGTCGCCCGGTGTCAACGGAGGAGGCGGGGGCGGGGGCGGAGGCGGAGGCCCCCGCAACACGGGCACCCTGCCGAAGAGCAATCGGAGGAGCGACAGGAACCGGGAACGGTTCGCCGCTAATCAGCAAAACCGTTCGGTTTATCACGGCCACCCGCAGCATTTTAACAACTTGGTAAATCCACCGGGAATCTTGCTTTTCACAGGACTTTGCCCTGTCTTCCTTGTTTTTAAGTAGATTAAGAGAGAGATCCATATATGTAATCATTATTGTGAAAAAATGACAAAATATTGTATTATGCATGCATTTTTATGTTATTTTTGCTGGTTAAAGGAAAGAAAATTTGATTAAACACATTGATCATTTGAGCTTTATTTTGTACAGTTTTTATTACTTGTTAAAAATATTTAGTTGCTGAAGAGGAAAAGTAACGATGAGAAAATGGTTGTAACAGAGATTAAAAAAAGAGAGAATGATTTTATAAATAAGCTGTATTTCAAGTGGAATGATATTTAGTGGGAGAAGATGCCCCAAGCCTACTCTGACGCTATTAGGTTGCTTCGAGCAGTGTCGAACTCGTTCTATTAATAGGCTGTAGAATAGTGGGGTGTTTCTTACTCTAAGAATACATATTCACGGAGGTGAATCTGCAGTAGAGCTGCGAGTATTTCTCCCTGCACATCCATAAGCTTATTTCTGTTCTACGTTTGCAATAGCTTAACACTGTCTGAAAAAGGTTTGTACGTTAGTTTCAACTAGATTGGCAAGTAGCAAGTGAGTACGATCGTGATTCAAGAGTACCGAGAGAAGCAAAAAACAGCAACACAAGATCAGCCTCCTCTCAACTATCTTCTTCATACTTTACAACGTACCAAGACTTATCTGACTTTGGTAAATATATTAATACTTAATTCTACCTTTTTTGTCATATGCATAATTTGTAATTTTACTTGTCGTCGTAGGAACACACAACTCGACAAGACAATATAATTACAGTATAGAAGACTGTACACCTTGGATAAAAATGATACCATTTACTGATCCCAGAACTCAATCACCTTCACAATTACAGGGAACAAAGCCCTCTAATGTGAATAAGATGGTATTGTTATATTCTGTATCTAAATATTTCTATTTTAAATTATGGTTTCTATAATTTTAATTTGATTGTAATTATATAATTTTTTATAATTATGATGTTTTATTATTTTGAAGCCCGAGAAAAGCCAAGTAGAAAGTCGCTTAAATCAGATCAGAGATTACATCAGAGTCACTGCAACAATGATAGACTCTCTTGGTCAATCCTCTGATCCTGTGAGTATTATTTATACACAATAGAATAGCAAATATTTTATATATAGAAAATTGTGTTCAAACTATTTTTCCATATTATATCTTATTGTCTTATAGCGAGCACAAGCTCAGAGCGAAAAATTAAGTAGAATGGTGGACGATCTTCACGACAGTGAGACAAAACTCTCCAAATTACTAGAGCAGTATCATAATAATGGAATCTCTGACGAGGTTATTAGCCTTTAATGTTTTATCGAAACATAGGTTGATTTTGTGAAACTAAATATCTTATTTTATGCACACGCAGAATGGCGAAAGAGAAGACATAGATGAATGCGGCGATGCTAGCAGAGAGATGCAATTACGAAGGAATATGGAAGAATATCAGAACAAACTCGCGCAGTTGCAAGAACAGCAAGCCAACTTAGCGGATATGCAGATGTGTGTCAGAGAAAGATTGAACAAGGCGCGTCAAGCGCAACAAGTGCTTTTGCAACAAGAGAATCAGAGTATGTCTAACTCCACTACCTGGGAAGACAACCGTGCGTCCCTGCCGAGTCCTGCTAATGTCGAGCAACTTGAGTCGGAAACGGAGGCATTGAGAGGCAAACTGGCACAACTACAGACAAAGAAGAAACAAATGGATCACCTTGTAGCGGAATTACAAGCCATAGAGACGTCCGACAGAGGCAGTTGTGTTAGTCTTAATTTTTTTTATACGATACGTATTCACAAAACACATTTCGCACAAATATTAAATTTATTCTATAATATTTTGTATATGTATAATATCATATCCACTTTTGTCTTTTATAATATTTATAACTGTACCCCACTTTAAAGGAAAAGGTATATTGATGTCTGTCACTCGTATAATTTTCAATTTATTAACGATTCTGCGCGATACGCGCGACAGTGGATATTTTCAAAACATTTTATCATTACTGAACTTTTCTGATTTTATCGTTGCTTACCATGACTTTACTCATATAAAGCCGCGTATATACATCGAACGAATACCGAACGTGAATGTTCGGACATTTGTGTTTGTGTTTGTGAGCAGTTTATCCTTTTTCTTGATTGTACCGAATACTAGCATTCAATTAGATTCGATATTCGTTGCACATAACAATTAAACTTGTACGACTTTTATGTAACAAATAACAACATAAACTTTTGCGTTCACTGTTCGTTCGGTGTTCGTTCGCTAGGTGTATACACGGCTTAAGATCCCTATTTATGAGATTTCTTATTATTTCTGGTGATTTCTGTGTAAGTTATATTTGTCGTTCGTCTTTATCGTATTTGTGTTAATTGTTCAGAGCTCGGAAGGTTCGAGAAACACAATAAAGGATAAAACCGCAGAATTGGAAGCGATGAAAGCACAACTTGCACATGTAAAGGCTTTAGTGGAGGACGGTACGAAAATTCGCGATTCTATCGACTTTTCTTCCGAACCCGAGCAAGATATTGACGCGCACGATGAAAGTGCAACGAATGGAATTAGCGAGGATATGACAAATATCTCATTTGAAAATCGAAGCAATGACGTCAATCATACAAAACATCGAAGTTTGGAGTCTAACATCTCAGATATACGGGTAATGTCGACAATCTCATACCACTTTAACATGATGTACACTATAGGGCACTCTTTGTTCATTTTCTAGACTCTGACATCAGAGCTTAAAGAACAATCAACCTTGTTACAAACTACACGAGCCAAATTGCAACGCTTAAAACAACCATTACCTGCGACTGCTCACCTTGCTTCTTCGAACTGCCCATCGTTCCCTCGCCCACCTCCAGCACTTATACCTCTAAGTGCAAACGAAAAGAAGCAGAGTTTTAATGCTAGTGCGGAGACTCAGTCTAAGCAAGCAAAAAGACATCAATTTGAAGATCTTATAAGAAAGGTTTATAAACGTTATGTCTTTTAACTTTTCTTATGAAAATATGCAATTACACTAGTATGTCTCTTTCAAATAAATAGGAACCAACACAGCCTTCCAATATGAATCGGGATCAAGCGTTGGATCAAAACAGTCAACGGAGCTCTGGTTCTCAAGCTAGTCATACCAGCACACCTGCAAATATCTGGCCATCTTCTGCCGCTGCAGGTAAATATTGTTATTATGCATTACGATGATCAAACAGTTATTATGCATATTTTTAATAGGTGCAGGAGGTTCTAACGAGCAAAGTGTAGACGGCGTATCTACGTCAGAAAATTTATTGGATATTGGTCTACCCGCTGCTATCGAGAATGGTGGAGTTGTTGGAAATTTATGGACCTGTCCTATACCACCTCCGTCTATTAATCAAGGACAAACTGGTAAAGTATAATCTTAAAGATATTTTAAAAATTAAAAAGAAAAAAAGAAAAATGTTGACATATTTCTTTCGTTGTAGCCACGATTGAGTATTATCGGCAATTATTATTGGGTTCGCAAGCCCATCAGTTGCAAATGATGGGCACAACAATGCAACAGTGCTGTCAACTTCTGTGGTCGCAGCAACGTGAATTACAATCCATGCGTACTGCCATTGCTGAACTACAATTACGATCACAAAATCAGGCTCCGCAGCGCATCAACAATGCTGAAACTCAAGAGGAACACTCTAATCTGAGCCGTAGCGTCCACAATCTCGGTGATACGTTGGATGCAACCTTACCTCCCAGTTCATCCTTACCGAATCTCGTGTCGCTACCTAATTCTTCAGCAGCATTATCGCATGCTCCAATAGTTAGCTCTAACTTGCAGCAGCAACAGCAGCAACAATTGAACAATCAAGTACCTCCTGGTAATAGAGCGAACAACTACTGGGATAATTTTCGAAGGTAAAGAGATGGTAAACTCATAACTTGACGAATATGTATCTCGTTAGTTTTGAAATTTTTAATGAATTCATTTCATTTATTTGCGCATTGTAAAATGGTAGATTTGTGAAAAAGACATTTCATTGCGTATATTTATTCTTTCATAATTTTATTTCAGTATAGAGATGTTTTTTTTTCTAAAAAATGTATTTATTATTAAATCTGATTTCCAACATGATTGTTATAATAGAGGAAGACAGATAAATACGGAATATTTAATGATTTTAATATTATTTTAATATTATCTATTATTGTAATTATTTGTAGCTTTGTTAATTATATTATTAAAAAATTTTTAATTCCGTATTTTTTCTGTACTTACTTCATACTTCTATATTTGTCCATAATATTTCGTAATTATCAGATTGATTGCATTCGTTTTCCATTTTTCTGTAAATCTAATGTATCATGTTTCATTTAGTAATAAACATCACAATCCTTTGCAACATTTTCTGTCTTATACTTCTTACTTATCATTACCCTTGTTTAAGATTGTATTAAGCACGTACGTAGCTCATATATAGCCCATGTTATAATTTCAATTACATAATCCGGTGGTTAATACGAACAAAAATAAATAAGGAAAACAATCATTGGAAGGTAATACATAGGTATGTAAATGGATTTTATGAGATTGGATAGGTATTCAATATCAATATCAATTTTTCAATAACTAATGTTAATGCATGACAATGAATGTCTTAACACAGAAATTTCTTGGCATTTAACTACAGTTTCAAATAAAATTCTTTTCCATCGTTTTAAAGTCGTTTTTTGTAACGAAACTTTTTGATTAATAATTGGTAATTGATTTTGGTATGCTCTGTGAATTTTTGCATAAAACATACATGCTACATATTGTCTTAATATTACATATATGTTTTTCGACTTCCAGTTATTCCCGACAAAATCTGCTCTCAGGAAATGTGAAGACAATGACCGATCCTCCAATGGCTGTAGCAAATTCGACGTGTTCCGCAAACACAACTAATACAAGTGGAAGCAGCGTTAACAGTTCATTAATGTATGCAATATAAAATTAATTAAATTGACAATTGGAACACTATGTAATATCTTTGATTTGTGTTTTGATTTTAGAAAAGAGCGAAATCGAGAGCAAGGATCCGATAATTTATCTCTACCATTAACTGGCGCAGAGACGCAATATTCATTGAATCTACAATTACAGTCAAATTTACAACAACAGGACAGAGAAAATACTACTATTCGCAGTAATATCATAACAAATGAAATGTCTCAACAAGTTGATAATCTTTGGGAGGAAGCTCATAGTTCTTTTCGATTATCATCTGCAACGAATGATGATAATCTTTTTAATAACTTAAGGTTTGAATCTTTTTCGAGATTTATTAAATACAATTATCATATAGACTTTATATTAATTTTTTATATAAATTTGTTTTTTATTTTACAATGAACAGTTCAGAGTTGAAAGAGGCAATCAGTTCGGTCATCGCAGTGAATAAGAGGCGACCCGATTATTTAATAATTATTTTAAGAGAGATTAAGGCCATTAGCGAGGATCATCGATTGCGATCTCATTTGTTAAGATCATTACGCGCTTTGCAAGACAAGCAAACATTAAATAATCCATTGGTTAGTATATAATTTGCAGCTGTACAGTATGTATCATTCCGCATGTTGAATTCTATGGTTATCAATTAATATTCTTTCCAGAATGAAGCACCTGACTTAACTCCAAGCGAAAGTTACCAATCTAGCGACGAAGATTCGGATGCAGATTTTGCTTTGGAAAATGCATCTATGATCGATCATTCGGCTATGCTCAAAATGGTTGTGATGTCTCATGTTACTGCCTCATCTCCGGTTTCATCTCAAGTACCATTAATAGAACATTTGGAAATAACGGTAAATAATAATATCAAATAAGTACAGAGTATACATATACATTACAATTATTTACCTAAATTATAATTTATATTTTTAGGAAACATCTCCAGTTGAATGTGCAAGTGCAGTCCCTTCTACTTCCAACGCTAAACCCGGTTATAACGAAGATTTAGCGGAAGCCGATCAATCAAGACCTGAATCTTCAGGAAATCAAAAAGTATATCCTCTTTTTTTCACTTAAGTTTCTCTCGAAGCTAAGTGAGTGGCATACAGAACAATATTAAATATGATGTATGTTGTTCCAGCTTCCTATTAGCGATATAGATAATGAGGGAGGGCAAGAAGAAGCAGCTTCTTATCCGATTACTGTAGAGGCGACTACTCCTGACCTCGAAAGTTTAGCAGCCAAGACTGAAGATGAAAGAGCAGAGGACACTATTCTTGATAATTTTTTTAGATTGCATTAAAAGATTTGTTATTAGATTGCTCTCATTAATCACGATGTGATAAAATGCTATTTACACCTATTTTAAGTGTAAAAGGAAAGTAAAGATGTACCGTAATCTTTGACAAGATATTAATTTGCTTCCGTTTACAAAAATATAATTGATTAATAAATAAATAAAGTGATATAAATAGTAAAAGCTGTTAAAAAACTAAAAACTTACTAATATTTGTCTATAGATCAAAAGAGTACACAAGATAGACATAATAAAAATAAGTTTACATATAAATATATTACATCAATATACATATATAATCAAGCCATATTTCTTCTCTAAAATACAAAATGGTTTGTGCGTTTCATTTGCGATGGAAATTTAATGGAACTATATTAATGGCATAAATGACTGAATGACTTATATTCCGAATTCAGTATTAAATAGACTCGTATTCTGAACTCATATTGGACTAAACAGACTCTTGTTCTGAAATTGGAATTAAACAAGTTCTGTATTGTGAATTCAAAATTGAACAAGCTCCGTATTTTAAATCAAAAGTTGTTTTGAACTTAATGGGATAAACAGATATCCTATTTCGTATTTGTTGAACTAAACAGAATCCATCAAATTTAAATTGTAGATGTGTCTAATGGAATACGAGAGAAGCCTGTTTTTTCCCAATTTCAAAATATGGATCCTATCGATACTTGTCCCTAACTCTCTTAAATATAGCTACGTCTATAAATCTCTGAAATAAAATTTTTTAATTTTAAAATATAAATAGATTTTAAGATTAAAAAAAAAACACTAAATAATTTAAACTTATATACAATATTCCGCTATATTCAAAATATGGCATATGAATAATATTGTGATAACTTCTCATGATTTAGATATTTATCATTAAATTGGATGCTTTTGGAATTATAATTATTTTATCATTTCCTCGTCAGCATTTATAGGCCTGTTCTTTTTGGCTGAACTGGTGCAAAAGTTTTAGCTAAAAAGAACAGGTCTTATATATACTCCTTATTGCAAAACTGAAATAAATAATTACAAAACTGTAAAAAATAATTGATATTTTTCTTATTTGAGAATATTTAAACAAAATAAATTTTTAATATCTTATATTTAATAAATATTCAAAATTTATAAAAAAAGGAAGAGGGGAGAGAGAGAAAAAACGCTATATAAAGAAACCAAATTAAAGCTTATTGTTTTGATTATTCTATTAACTTTAGAAGTACCATTCAAAGTAAAGCTCTGTCCCAAGATTTTTTTATACTCGAATTAAAGCTGATATCTTAGCTGTTACTTAAAGTTGATATTTCACAACATGAATTAATTATAGACGAGGCTTTCTACAATAAGCCATAAAAGTAATACTAAATCAGAAGTCGGAAGAAGTAGAAATTGGCCGCAATTATCATAAGGTGCATTCCGAGTTGCGCATGAAGCGCACGATGTATCGTTTTATTTTTCTTTAGTAATTTATAAACAACAAAGATAAATGATGCATCATGCGCTTCATGCGTAACTCTGAACGCACCCATAGTCGATTATTCTTTTTACGTTCGACTGTGATTGGTCTATTTCTATCTTCTGATTTCTGATTTATCACTAATGGCTTTATTGTTGTGTAGAAAACCTCCAAAGGAATTCCGAGATAGACGAAGTATTTACCATAGACGGAGTCCCACGAAAGCTTGATCGATTGATTATTCCATTGGAACCGACCAATACCATTTGTCGTTAAGTAAAATTGACCAATTACAGCTGACACTTAATTAATCGATCGAGCTGATCGGAGATAGTGAAACCAAGTGAAATCGGCCTTGACAACCGATTAAAGAACGAACAATACATTTATATTAATCAATGTTAAATTAATTAATAAAAATGCGGATTTGGCTGCCGATTCGTCTCATCCAGATTCTAGAAGAGGCTGAATCGCGCGTCGTTCTCATTGGGATGTAGTGGCAATAAAGATGCGGCATTATTCGCTTCGCTCGTTCCACTCGCGCGCAATCCTGATATATGGATACGACTCCATTTTGAACTTTCTCGTGCAAGTAGGCATTTTTTCCAGGGAATATACAATTGTTGGAAGTCGGACCGTCCTCGGAAATGCTCTCGAGGTATATTGGGAGGCTGCACCCGCTTAAGGTAGACATCGTCAAGTGCGGTGCACACAAATGCTCGTCAATTTTAGATACAACATCGAAAGAGGCGATTGGGAAGCCTGCTAAAGTACAGGTTAGACGTGCTCTATTACACGACTTTTTCGCATCGCTGAACACGAAAACCTTTCAAGGGACGTCCGAGAGTGTTTGGAAAGTCTTGCTTCGCGCCTTTCAGATGAGCCTCGGTCGTCTCTTTTACATGTCTGCGATATTTCGAGTGATATTGCGTAATTAATAGAAAAGTTCTGGATGGCTGCCCTATGGTCATTCGATTCACGGATTTGACAGATACAGAAAATCTTAATGTTGATCGCGTTAAAATTAACGTTGGCTCGCGGCGACGGTTACATTGTCGCGTCCACGACTTACAAATTTTACAATAGAAACCAACCGGTTTAATCTTGTTTACACTCACAGATGTGTATTCATCTCTCTCCATGCTTAGGGATGGGTACGCGCACTGCGAAAGATGAAGGATACAGTCTTTGTTGACATTTCCGATGGATTAACGTGCAAAATGTTGCAAGTTGTTGTGCCGAAGATGATTAAACCCAACAATTTGCGTTATGGGAGTAGCATCAGCGCGGAAGGAGAGCTGTTCCTGGCTCCCGACGGCAAGACTGAACTACGCGCGACCGAGGTACATGTGATCGGCGTGTGCAATGTCTCGGAGGACGGATATCCTTTCGCAGCGAGAAAGATATACAATACAGAGTATATTAGACAGTATTTACATTTGAGGCCGAGAACGCGAGGCTTCTCTAGCTTGTTAAGACTGCGCGATCTGGCCACTACAACGATCACTGATTATTTGAGAGATAGGGGGTTTCTTAGTGTACACACACCGATGTTGACATCCAACGATTGCGAAGGCGCGGGTGAGGTGTTTCTTGTCAAACCGCAGTCCAAAGAGATTCTAGAAAGTATGAAGAAGGAAGGTCAATCAGAAGATGAGATTTACTTTGGCACCACTGCTTTCCTTGCTGTCTCTGGACAGTTGCATTTAGAAGCAGCAGCAAGGTGATTTAAATTCTTTGCTGCACATTGTTAATGATGTTGTATCTATCGTACCTATTTTTGCAGTCGTCGCTAAATTATAGGATGCAATGTATTGTTAGAACTTTTTCAGAGCTCTCACAAAAGTGTACACTTTTGGACCTACATTCAGGGCAGAAAATTCAAAATCGAGATTGCATTTATCAGAGTTTTACATGTTAGAGGTGGAGATAGCATTTATTACACGGATCGAAGAATTGATAGAGGAAGTTGAACTTTTAGTGAAACAGGTTACCGAGCGAATGATTGAAAAAGGAGCCTCAGATTTGCGTGTAATCAATGCTCCAGAATCACAATGGTTGAACAAAACATTTGCACGTTTAACATATGAAGATGCGTTCAACGTGTTAAATAATCACGCGAATAGGTTGCAACAACCTATAAAGTATGGAGAGGCATTGTCGAAAGAGCACGAACTGTTTTTAGTACAACATAACGATGGGGTGCCAGTGTTCGTTATTAACTGGCCAAAAGTTATTAAGCCATTTTATATGAAAGAGTGCACAGATGATGTATCTAAGGTAAGTCAGTAATAAACAAATGTGTAATTTTTAAAGAACGTTTTTCCAGAATAAATGTATGCTTGTAATACTTTTATCTATATCCTATATCTTTTTTTTTCTTACAAGGTAGCGGCACTGGACTTGCTAGTGCCAGATGTAGGAGAATTGGTAGGAGGTAGTATGCGCGAGGATGATTATGGAAAATTAGAGCTGAAGCTGCCTCCCACGGGGAATCTCTCGTGGTATTTAGATTTACGTAAATATGGAAATGTGCCAACAGGTGGCTTTGGATTGGGCTTTGACAGATTTTTGCAATGCGTCTTGGGGATTAGCAATATCAAGGACACTGTGCCTTTCCCCAGATGGCCGCACAATTGCAATTTATGAATAAAGTTTTCAGGTTGTGTTACTTAATTTATCCCCCTAACAAAAAATGTGACCATCAATGCAAATTAGCAGTCTTTCAAATGGAAAAACAATGCCGCATATTTCGTACAAAAGTCTTTTTTTTATATTATGACATGCAGGTTTCTTAAATGATGGATGTGGTGATTGGAAGGTTTGTTCGAATGCTCCAACATGTTCCATATGCTCCTACCATAGCTCTTACTCCAATGCGCTTGATGGAGTGAGTAGGAGCATGTTGGAACATGTTGGAGCTTGCTACACGAACAAACCTGGAGAGTTAAAATACTATGGCACACAAAAAAACTTAAATAAAGTAAGCTTAATCAACATTTCTTATTTATTACAACGTACGTTATTATTTTATGATCTATTTGCTTACTCTATTACTTAAGTTTTTTTGTCTGTCATAGTCAATTTAATCAATCTATCATAATGAGGTTGCATACACAGTAATTCCATTTTAAATGCAGTTTATTGAATATTGAAAGATACAACGAAATAATCGCAATAAGTTTACGCAACGATTCCATTTTGAACGCAGTTTATTGAATATTAATACATAAGAACAAAAATATAAGTTTTTTTTATCAATGTCTTTATTGTTTCAAGTATTCCTAGCTTATGAAATTCAAGTCCTAAGCAGCTTCAAAGTTATAAAGGATATAATAGAAAGGATAATTAAAAAGAGAGAAAAGTCAAGCCTGTAATAAACAAGTCTTCTTTTATACAACAAAATAATGCATATCTAATAGCAGTAGTAATAATCCTCGTCGATTTTATCGTCGTCATTGTTTTTCTGTTGAGTTATGTACATTACAAGTAGATGATCATATCACATAATTTGTACACCTTGAAATGACTCGCCCTATGCCGCCCCCCCCCCCTAGCAAATTTATTTTGAAGGATTTGCAGCATTTTATGTACAAGTACGAGAAGTACTTAATGTTACAGGTGAGTGTAAATCACCATCAAGCTTAGAATGTGA